TGCTGTCTTAATGGTAGCATTTTCATTGGAGGATTAAAGGCAAAAGGCGGTTTGAAGTAGTAACAGAGTGAATAGAACGAGAGGTGGTGGAGACGTTGCACGAAGTGTTGCGGGGGAGAGGAGCAGTAGAATTTTTTTTGCCATCACTTGAAAAGTCTGTTTCAGCCTGTAGATGCCCAGTGAGTGAATGGAATTAATCTTAGTTATCACTGTAGGTACAAAAATCTAACCAACGTCTGGGTATGTATCATCCGCTGTTTGAGCAGAAGTATTAATGTTGGGTCCTACGTATGTCTATGACTGAAGGAACCTAGACACAGCAGCCTGTTGGGAAGGATTCTGGGTATGTATCATCCGCTGTTTGAGCAGAAGTATTAATGTTGGGTCCTACGTATGTCTACGACTGAAGGAACCTAGACACAGCAGCCTGTTGGGAAGGAAGGAGCAACCTGGAGCGATTTGCCGTCCACATGTGGGCACTGTCCGTGAGCTCTTCACCTGCCTTCACCACCAATTCAGTACATCTCGTAGCACAGTCTGCGACGTCTTCACACGAGTGTCACTCATCACGAAGTGCTCTAGGACCAGGAGAGAAGAATGCTGTCATCCAAATACCACTACTTCACAGCACAAACAACCAGAGCATTTACTATGTCCAATCTCGATGACATGTTCTTCCAAAAAAAAAATAGTTAACATTATAAGTTTGAACTGTTTCTGTTTTGTTCTGTTTTTTTCCTTTTTGGCTATACTTTCCTGTATGAACGATGTGTATTATACAGGGTCATTTTAATGCATGACTTATATAATGATATTTCATAGTGGAACATTCTTTCTCCCTCTGAAATTTAAATTATAAAACCTCAAATAATGTGTTCTATTTTCCACAAGGAACAGGTGTTATACCAATTATATTCTTTATATAATCTTGGCTGGGAATATTTAAATATGAACGCAAACATAAAGGGAATATAATTACATTGGAGTTCATCAACCACTTCCCAAGAATCGTTTTATGAAACCATCTAGGAAAATTCATTTATTATATGCAAATAGGTTCTGAGAAGTATTTACTTTGATACTGAATAGTAATGATATAATCAAGATCATACAGTTTAGGCATTGACAATTTCAATGATAGAGAAACTGCTGCTCTTATTTAAAAATAATACATAGCACTTAAGAGATTTTATACCTGCCTAGGAGTACATTACCATAATCACATGTCAATATAATATCACTTGTTATGGTCAGTCATATTAGAAGGGAAGTAATTGCCATGCATTTTAAAATAATTATTGAGTTAGATTTCCCTGTAACACAAAGTGAAAATAGTGCCACTGACACAATAATTTCAGCTAAGGGAAAAAGAATCGAAGCTGTGCTCAAATAAAACTTACCCATGCAACTGGAATGTATTGCAGTTTCTAGCTTGGTTTTTAAAAGGATATTATACAGAGAGAGTAAAATGTGTTGATGCTTTTTTTCTCAGTCATCATATCATTTTGCTTATATAAAAATAGAGATTAAATAGTTAGTTACACACAAGTTATGGCCCATGTTCCTTTTGTTTCTGTTATCTTAGCCATGGAAAGAAATCATTATTTTTAAATGATTAATGAAGCTCATCTTCGGTTCCTGTAACAAAGCCTGTTTCAACAACGCAATGTAAACCACAATAAATCTCCTTATATGAAACGACACTTAGCATATCTCTACTTGTCTTATTAGTGACTGACTTCAGGTTTATCTTTCCTTACTTTTTCTTTCATATTTTGTATATCAGGAGAAGCAAGGAGGGGGAAAAAAGGATAAAGAGGACACAAGTATCATACAATTTACCGTGTTAAAATTTCCTGCTCTACACCAAACAGGAAATGTTGTCTACACTTCAGGCAAACCAGACATTGTACTGTAAAATCTGATCAGCGCAGTTTATTGTGGAAACTCCGGTACTTAGTATGGCCTCATTTTACATAATGGGCCCCCGTAATCGTTTAGGTTTGCTTAAGTGATATTTAAGAAGATGTGACTTGTTACAGCATGTATGAGGATCTGTTTCTCATCTGAATATAATTTGCATGAATTATAATATAATTTTCATGATTTGTTAACTTTCAGTTATGTGTTCTCCTCTATTTCAGTTGATTATAGTTCTTATGTAAATTGTGTTACTAAATCTGGTTGTAACTTTAAAATTTCATTTCATACTAATTTAAGTCTCTTTTACTTATGTGCC